AAAGAAAGAAAGAAAGAAAGAAAGAAAGAAAGAAAGAAAAGAACAAGGATTCCTTACTCCTTTTCCCCTGGCATCTTACCCACTTATGAAAATAAAAGTCATAAGAAAATTCATTAATTTGCCCAGGACCAAGTCCCAATCCTTTCCTGAATCATCTGGAAATAACTGCCTACTGGTAGGCTTCCGGCCCCCACGTCTGGGTTTTTGGCCATTCTGTGTGTGCAGAATGGCCCTTTGCTCAGCACGCTGCCACCTCAGGATTTTCCCAAGGCCTCATTGTGTCATTTCCCTGCTCTTAAATGCACAATTCCCACCATCTGCAATAGGAAGAGGGCCTTTTATTTAACCATTTCTCATTTCTGGACATTTTGCTGGTGGCCACTTTTGTATTTTCCTAATAGAGAAAAAAAAGATGGCATTGAGCATCTCCTACAGTTGCTGAGATTGGAGTTGATATTCTGGCTTTACAGTTTTCATTTTTTCTTATAGAGCCCCGTACAGCCAGTGGAAACACTACCGTGGGTGTCAGGATGCTTTCGGAACCAGAAGGCACGTGTAAACACCTCCTGTGCCGTGAGCAGGCTGGAAACGGACTACCGGGGCTGCTGGCAGAGCCTGAGCCTGTCACGGCCCTGGGCCCCAGGGTGCGTAATTAATAAAGTTATCTGATCTGTTTGTTTGCTGCAGAACTCAAGGGAAACACAAAGCTGTGACTCAGTGCCTGGGGGCGAGCTGTGTTAGGCATCAAGAAGTTGTTTCATTTGTCACAGCACTGGGCTGGCTCAGTAAACAAGTATGCCATGTGGGAAAATTCTTCTTTCTTCCATTTAACAGAGTGGAAAGCTCATCTGAAGGGTTCTTCGTGTACATTCTTCATTCTTCTCCTCTAGGGATTTGGGGCCCTGGTCAAATCATCTTTATGAAAACCTTTGATCTAAGTGGCTAAAATTATTTCCAAACCAATGACCAAAATAAAAGTATTTGCCTGCAGGGTCAGCTGTCAGATAGCTCTGTACCTTGTAGAATGGTTTTCTTGACTATTCCAAATAATTGAAGAAGTTCTTTATTCATTGCCACTCATTTTTCATTAAGACTAATTTTGTTTTTCTTTCTTTTCAATTGCGTTTGCTTTAAATGAAAAAAAAATTACTTTGAATACTGTTGAGTAATTTGAGTAGAAATGTAAGATGACCCACCTACTCTGGAAAATTGTTTCACAGTTAAACATATACCCACTTTATGACCCATAAATTCCACTCCTAAGAATTTACCCAGGAGTATTGGATGCAAAGGTCCTCAAAAGGGACCAGTACAAGAATATTCCTATTAGCTTTACTCATAATAACCTCAAGTTGGAAATAATCCAAAAATCTGTCAATAGAGAAATAAATAAATCAGGCATAATTGTACAATGGAGTCCTTCCCAGCCATAAAAGGAACAACCTATTGAAACATGTAACAATATAACTTTAAAAATTATTATGCTGAGTGAAAGAAGCCAGACATAAAGGAGTGTATGCAGCATGGTTCTGTTTATATAAAGTTCCATAACATGCAAAGCAATGTAATCAATCCCTGGCAGAACAACTATACTTTTCAGCGACATCTCTTTACCATGGAAGGGGAGCCCCAATTTTTGGTGGCCAAGGAGTCTCTTCAGCCACACCTATGTTTCCAAATGAGGAAACAGAGGCTGAAAAAGTTTAGATAATTTGCTCAATCCCTATAATTAGCATATAGCCGATGTGGGATTTGGACCCTGGTCTCTCTGGTTCCAAAGCCGGTGTTATTCCTACTACATTTTTTTGGATGAGATATCTGCATTTCAAGCTCCGCTTGGGACGGGTGGTTCCTCTCATGTTGGACTTTTCAGTCATGTGCTCCGATTCTGGCCCCCAGGAGGAGGCTTGCAGGAGTCGACAACAGGTAACTTCAGATTTGCTATGTGGCCCAAAGAAGTCCTCCAGGCTGCCCTTCCAAACCTTCTCTGTCTCTGACTGTTCCTTTGGATTGATGACTTGGGTGGATGGTCACTGATTTTAATTTTGTCCCTGGGTGGGGACTTTCAGATAACCCCTACCTCTAAATTCTAGATCCCGCAGGAAATCCCATGTTCCACCACCTCTGAACTCTGCCCAGACTCCGGGTCTCTGTCCCTCCGCTGGTTCACCTCCTAGGACGCTAGCTAACCAGAGTGCTGGCTGGGGGCAGGGAATTAAATAGATAAAATAACTTCGTATTAACTTCTGATTAAAGTTGCTACCAGAGGAAGACAGTGTCGGACTTCTATTCTTAGAGACATTTTAAAGTAAGAGGTGTTGATTTCAGCCAAAATGTTCTCATTTCATAAGCATGCTTGCATTTCACAAGCATTGTCATTTTTATTTTTGCTTATTACCTTCCCCTCTTTTCTTTTACCTGTATATATACTTTGCACAGCTGCTAATCGTATCGTACATGCCATTATATTATCTTCGTTCACTAAAAACACATTATAAACATTTTCCGCGTTACTCTGTTTCAAAGCACTTAACGGGAAAAACTGTGTTGTATATAATCAAGTCAATAACCTCTTACTTTAAGAGAAAGATAAATAGCAGAGTCCCTAGGTATAAATCACAGCACAATTTTGAATTTGCTAACTCTTCTTCCTCCATGCAGGTGTTTCTCAGAGAGAATACCATCACAGAGATGCATATAGACATAACCACACACCTGCCCTGTGGTGTAGGTAGATGGAGAAGAGGGTGATCAAATGTACAGGGTGTGTCTGAGAAGCCCATGCCTAGCAAAGACAAACATCTTGGAAGTGATGAGATGGGGACTTACACCTCAGGTCTGGCTGACTCTCAGGCTGTAGTTCTTTGCATATTTAGGTTATTTCTATTTGAGAGAGAGATGGAGAGAGAGAGAGAGAGAGAGAGAGAGAGAGAGAGAGAGAGAGCAGGTGACAGGGGTAGAGGGAGAGAGAGAGACGGAGAAGGAGAGAGAAAGAATCCCAAGCAGGCTCCACGCTCAGCATGAAGCCCGACGTGGGGATTGATCCCACAATACTGGGATCATGACTTGAGCTGAAATTAAGAGTCAGATGCTCAACCAACTGAGCCACCCAGGAGCCCCTGAAATATCCTTATCCTTGTAGGTAAATCTTTGATCACATTTGTGATTATTTCCTAAGTATAGATTCTGGATGTGGAATTGCTTAGCCAAAGAATGTAAACATTAAAATAATTTAATTGACTTAATTTTTCTAGAATAGTTTTAAGTTTCCAGAAGAATTGAGGTGAGAGTTCCCATATACTCCCCATTTACACAGTTTCTCCTATAACAACATCTTACATTAGTGTAGTATATTTATTACGAGTATTGAATCAATCATAATTATTAGCTCAGGCCCACACTTTATTCAGAGTTCCTTAGTTTTTACTTAATGTCACTTATCTGTCTTAGGATTCCATCCAGAACACATTACATTTAGTCATCATGACTTCTTAGGCTCCTCTTGACTATGACAGTTTCTCAGGCTTGCCTTGTTTTTGATGACCTTGACAGTTTTGAGGAGTACCGGTCAAATTGTTGGATGTCAATTGGGATTTGTCTGACGTTTTTCTCAGATTGGTGTTAGATTGGTGTTATGGATTTTTGAGAGGAAGGTCATAGAGGTAATGTGCCATTTTTATTACATCATATCAAGAGTGCATACTATCAACATGATTTACAACTGGCGATATTGACCTTGATCACCTGGCTGATACAGTGTACGTAAGACTGCTCCACTGTGAAGGTGTTTCCCTATCCCATTTCTCTACTATACTCTTTGGAAGTAT